TCCCTTTAAATACCATATGCTACCTGGTATCAAGACCATATGACGCTGAAGCATTTATAAGGAAGAGGATGACGCAGTTTTCAACCGTTTTCCAGCTTGGATGGGGTCGGTGTTCTGCGATGAAAGCGACGCCGGTTAAAACCTGGGGCTAATCCAGTTTTCTGTCCATAGACCGGTACCTAATTCAACATTAGCAACAGTAGATGAAGAATATAATCGCCTTCACTAACAAGGAGTTATTACACTCGTTCCTTACTCTGCTTGAAGAGCACCTATGGTTGTCATCAAGAAGGCCAACGGAAAGATATGTATATGAGCTGACTTTTCTATAGGTCTAAATGCAGCTCTGGAACAGCACCATCATTGTCTACTGCAGCATTTTAGCACTTGGAACTGGACTAGAGTGTGCGACGCGGCTTTTGGTTAAATCAGGTCCATAATTAGCCCGGAATTGTTACGATCCATCCATGCAGATCATCGTGGCAGCAGTCGCTTCAGCGTATGGCCCAGGTGCTGCTATTTCACCTCAGTTTCCAAAGGTGTCAAAAGAAGCCGTTATGCATGCATCCTATACACAAACCCCAGCAGAAAAGAAGTACAGCCAGATAGAAAAGGAGGCTTTTGTCCTTGTTTTTGCTGTGCGTCGTTTCCAAAAGTTTCTGTACAGTCAACGATTCGCGTTTCTCACAGATCACAAGCATCCGCTCTCAATATTCGGTTCAAAGTTTGGCATTCAAGTCCATTCTGCAAATCATCTTCAGCGATGGGCCTTGGTACTTTTGCGGTATGACTTCAAAATCCAGTACGGACGCACCCATCGATCCGGTCGGGCAATGCTTTATCACGTCTTATTAACGATCAAGTGGTAATCGCATCTCTGTCAGTGGAAGACCACTCACAATGTTACCTGACAACCACAATACGGGCATTACCGGTGTCTGCAACAGACATACAAAACGCTTCGAGGAACGACCCCATCATCATGATGACAACGAGCTATGTCACTGACGGTCGGTCGTCTAAAATGTTTGATGGTGACTTGAAGCAGCCGTATCAGCGCGGGATTCACTATGCATCGTAAACAACTGATTGGTTTTTCGGATAAAGAGTGGTTGTGTCAGAATCACTGCATGCAAAAGTGCTAAGACATTTTCACCTTGGTCATCCATGGGTTAGACAAATGAAATCAAAAGCCAAGAGTTATGCCTACTGGCCTGTAATGGATCAGCGTATCACTAAGTTGGTTGGAAAATGCATGTGGTGTCAGCCGGCGGCAAAGGTGTATACCAAGGTTTCGCCAGTTTCATGGCTAGAACCTGATCATCCTTGGTCCAGGTTACACGTCGAATTTGCGGGCCCCAAATATGGAATTATGTAAAAAGTTGTGGTTAACGCCCTTTCAGGATGACCAGAAGTCGGCCTTGTAATGCCAATCACGACAACTAAGACAATACAGCTCCTCACTGAAATTTTCTCCCGAAATGGCAAACCAGATGAGGAGACACCAGCTGACTCGTTGCAAAATTCCTTGTACGTTTATCGAACAACACCAAATGACACGTTACCGGAGCGAAGGTACTCAGTAGAAGTCCTGATGGGAAGAAGACTGAAAATGATCCACAGCTTGATGCATCAACACCAGAAGGGAAAAATTCTGAAATGCAATCCACTTATGAAGTGCGATGTCCTGTGTTTGCCCGTGACCACAGACTATTACATGGTCAATGGACAGGAACGCAAGTGACCAGAAGAGTTGGACGTGAGGACAGCTGATAGACTCGTTCGAGGTGAAGACCGGTGTCAGGCGACGTTGCTTACTCTCATACTTTCTTTTTTTCTGTGGTAGTCTGGATTATGAAGACGTCAACATCTGAAGGGTAGCACGAAATACACTGTACAGCTCGGATGCTGCTGGACGATCTTTACTTCACAGCTGTTCTACCGCTTACTTACTTACGCCTGTTATCCCTAATGGAGCATAGGCCGCCCACCAGTTTCCTCCAACCAACTCTGTCCTGGGCTTCCCTCTCCAGTTCTGTCCAATGTTTGTTCATTCCTCTCATATCTTTCTCTATTTCTCGACGCAATATGTTCCTTGGCCTTCCTCTTTTCCTTCGACCTTCAGGGTTCCATGTGAGGGCTAGTCTCGTGATGCAGTTAGGTGCTTTTCGTAGTGTGTGTCCTATCCACTTCCACCGCTTCTTCCTGATTTCCTCCTCCACTAGAATCTGGTTTGTTCTCTCCCACAGTACGCTGGTGCTGATAGTGTGGCCAACGAATGCGAAGACAACTGTTCATAAATACTTGTATCTTCTGGATGATGGCTTTGGTAGTTCTCCAAGTTTCCGCTCCATACAGTGGAACTGTCTTGACATTTGTGTTGAAAATCCTGATTTTGGTGTTGATTGATATTTGTTAGGAGTTCCAGATATTTTTCAACTGTAGAAATGCAGCCCTTGTGTTAGGATATTCATCCAATATCCTAAGAGAATTATTGGTCTATTCCTACTGGTCAATTTTACGGTCGTCCTAGATATCAGTGTCACGTGATCCAATGTTGTTTATTATTGGTTGTCCTGACTATCAATGTCACTTCAAATGTTACTTCCTATTGGTCGTCTTAACTGTCAATGTCACAGACTTCGATGCTGTTTCCTATTCGACCAAAATGTATAAGTACGCATTATCTGTAACATTTTACGACCACGACCAGGACCAGGGCTCGGTCCCGGATCCCTAGTTCGGGATCCTGATTCTCTTCTGGATTCGGACCTCGTACTTTCTGTATGCTTGTAGAATACTTCATATCACATCTTATTTTAACTCAATATAGGGGTTGGGATAATCGGATTTGAGTGGCATGTCGTTTCACCGGATCCTCGATCTCGTTTTCCGACTAGGTAAACTCGTAATAGTTCAAGTATATCAAATCTGCATCGGATCCATCTTGGTTGTCGATGATGCTGCCCAAATATGTAAAGGTGTTAACATCCTCCAAGGCATCTCCATCAAGAGTGATTTGGTTGGCGCATGTTGTGTTGCATCGGAGAATTTCGCTTTTTCCTTTATGTATGTTGAGACCTACTGCTGCAGAGGCTGCTGCTACACTCGTCGTCTTCTCTTGCATTTGTTGTTGCGTGTGCGATAGAAGAGCCAAGTCATCTGCGAAGTCCAGATCGTCCAGCTGCGTCCTAACTGTCCAGTTGACACCGTGCTTCCCTCCAGATGTCGACGTATTCATAATCCAGTCGATCACCAGGAGAAAGAGAAAGGCTGAGCGTAAGCAACCTTGCCTCACACCTTTCTTCACCTCAAAAGAGTATGTTAGCTATCCTCCATGCACGATTTTGCAGTTGAATCCATCATAAGAATTCCGTATGATGTTAACTATTTTCTCAGGCACCCCGTAGTGTCGAAGAAGCCTCCACAGTGTTTTCCTATCCACGCTATCAAATGCTTTCTCGTAGTCGTTGAAGTTGATGTAGAGTGGTGAGTTCCATTCAATTGATTGTTCCACAATGATCCGTAATGTAGCAATTTGGTCAGTACACGATCGATCCTTACGAAATCCGGCCTGTTGATCTCGAAGTTGGACGTCTACGAAGTGTTGCCTGTGTAGTTCTCACACTTGCTGAGATCGCCTTTCTTTGGTATTTTGATGAGGTATCCTTCTTTCCAATCTGATGGTACTTGTTCCTCATCCCAAATCTTCTTGAAGAGGTTGTGGAGTATTTTCGCAGTTGCTTCCACATCTGCTTTCATTGCCCCTGCTGGAATGTTGTCTGGTCCTGCTGATTTACCGCTCTTAATTTGTCTGATGGCCACACTGATCTCCTCAATCGTAGGTGCGCCAATATTATTTGGGAGGTCTGTGAATGCTGCTTCGATGTTGGGTGTGTTCAGTGGAGCTGGTCATTTCAGGAGTTCCTTAAAGTGCTCTACCTACCTATTTCGCTGTTCTTAAGTGTTGCTGATTACTTTCCCTTCCTTGCTTTTCACTGGTCGTTCTGGTTGACGATAGTTTCCGGCGAGCTTCTTTGTTGTATCGTACAATTGTCTCAAGTTTCCGTCTCTTGCAGCCTTGTCCGCCGTCATTGCTAGATCTTCCACATATTTTCGTTTGTCAGCTTTGATGCTCTTCTTCACTTCCCTGTTTGCTTCTGTGTATGCAGGTTGTGCGGTAACTTTCTCGGCTCTTGTTCGGCTGACATTGATTGCTGCCCTCTTGTTCCTCCTTTCTTCAATTTTCGCAAGAGTACCAACAGACATCCATTCCTTGTGACGTTGTTTCTTGTGACCTAGAACCTCCTGACATGTTGAAGTGATTGCCTCTTCGATCCCTTACCAATTGTTCTCCATGTTTGTTTCTTCTCCATCGAGTAGATCCTGCACACACACAACAAAAAATGCAGGAGAAGACAATCAGTGTAACAGCATTGGGTCTCAAAATACACTAAGTAAAAAGCAAGGTCCTTCTATACAACACAACAGCAGACGCAGAAACCAAAAAGGCGCGCTGGAGTTGAGTGGAACACACATTGAGGAAAGTACTTTACTGCGTCACAACGCAGACCCTCACTTGGAATCCCCAAAGTCAAAGGAAAATAGGAAGGCTGAGGGACATATTACGTCGAGAAATGGAGACAGACGCGAGAAAAATGAATAGAAGTTGGACAGAACTGGAAAGTAAAGCGCAGGACAGAGTAGGTTGCAGAATGTTGGTCAGCTGCTTATGCTACATTAGAGGGTAACAGGTGTAAGATATATATATACGTATATTTATAGGTTTTAAAATCCATACATGTGTTAATGTGAACTGAAGAAATTTATTCAGACGATAACCGAATTAAAACTATACAACAATAGCAAATATTTGTACATCAGTTTATATATATATATATATATATATATATATATATATATATATATAAAATAAGATTACAATTTTTGTTTTAATAAACAAGCATCATCATATATTTTCATACGTTTAACTTTTTCAATTATAAAAATGAATTTGGCTCTGGTTCATCTTGTTCAATAGTTCCATCAATTGAAATAACATCGAAATCACTTTCTCTATATATTAATGGACAATAAACATGTGAAAATGTTAAACCAGCACCATGTGAATCTGAATCAATTATTGAATGAGTACAAGTTTTGGAATTTTCTATAGTAGTACTATTACTGCTGTTTTTACTGCCATTATTATTATTACTACAATTGTTATTATTACTTGGATCAAAATAATCTTTATTATCATTATTTTGTAACATATTAAGATTTACACAATGTATAATATTCTGTTTTACATTGTCATTAGTATCTTCTTTGCGTCTATTAGAATTTTGTTGATCATAATAACACAGTCCATGTTGTAAACTATCGAAACTGTGTCCAATTGTTACTAAATGATTGGAATAAATAGAATTTGATTGTGATGTAGTTGATGATAAGGTGGATGTAGATGATGGATTATTATTATTATTATGATTATTATTATTATTATTTAAATTAGTTAATTGAAATATCCAATTTTTTATCACTGAATCATGTGAATAATAAGCACGAAATGTTTTATAAATACATGATGGATAATTTAAATCATATTTTATTTCAGTATGACAATTGGTTGGTTGTAATGAAATAAATGATTGATCTGTGTTTTTCAATGTTAAAGATAATTTTTGATGATGTGTTTGTGTTTCTGTAGATTTATGTAATAAATTATTATTTATATTGAATGGATTTGATATGATTAAATAATTGACTGCATCATTCATACTTGGTACTGAAGAATAATTTAGTTTAGTATAATTCATTTTATTATCGAATTTTACATTTGATTTAACTTGATTTATACACTGAAAGGAATGATCTGTAGGCGGTAATAATACATCTTGTTTCATTTCATTTATTTGTTGACAATCTAATTTATTTTCCCATTTTGAATTGGTGCATAAGTCAACTGGAGCTGAAACTGCTTCAGAGAATAAATCTGTATTATCAATGCGTTTTAATTGTTTTGTAGGTTTACAAAATAACACCGATGAACATTTTCTACTATGAGGTAGTAGAGATTTTGCCTTATGTTGATTAGTTAATGATATTTGAGATTTTGACTGTTCATAGGAATGATTTATTAAATTATTTTGTTTTAATAAATATCTCTTTTGAAGTCTACTAATAGGACATATAGATAAAAACCAGATGTTTAATTGTTGTTTAAAATGTTTATTCAATGTCAGATAAACAAAAAAATTTATAGAATAAGTAAATAAGCCTAGCATATGTGCTATGGAACGATAAATTAAATATGGAGGACAACATCTCCATCGTTTGCATTTATTACCGAAATGTCTATTAAATGCTTCAAATATTGTAATATATGCAAATGCCTGCGGTATTTGTCCAGCTATAAATAAACAAATGATAACAATTAATAAAATGGTTAATTTACGTTGTGCTGCTTGCCATCTAGCACTTGAAGCTTTATTAACTTTGGTTGTGCGTAAATTTGCTTTGTGTAATTTAAAACGACCGGGTTTTTTATTGGATACATTTGGTAATAAATACTTTTGACGACGTTTATTTGCTATATGTAGGAAACGTAGTAAACAAAAATTTACTAAGCATAGAAATAATAAAGGTAAAACCTGTATTAACATGATACGTGTCCATGAGAAAATTTTATAAAAGTCTGAATTGCCGAATTCTGTAAGCCCAGTGAAAACTTGTATTTGACCCTGATTGTACTGATTATCAGCTGAAGTTAAACTATTGGCTTGGTTTGATGTAGTATGAAGCCATTCACTTGTTTTATTGTCATCCACTTGTTTAATTGTTGAGTTTTTTACAGGAACAATTTTACTGACAACTTTTTGAACAAAGAATAGTGGCAAATTAAGTAGTATGCTAAAAAATGTTACAAATAATAATGAATGTTTGAAATTACAATTTCGACAAGTATACAGCTGTATGCATTTAATTAAACTGCAACATCCTATCGGTTTGTTGAAATGTGAATGACGTAATCTTTTAAAAATACATAGAGATTTTGGTGTTGGTGTATTGGTTGAACTTTTTGCGGCATGTTTCAACCCTAACAAATTACAGCAGTTTGACAACTTTTTATACAATTTTAAATGATTCATTGTTGTTTGTCGTTGTTGTTGTTGTTGTTCCAGTATCTTTCCTTCTCTTCTTTCAACTAAGTCTTTGTTTGGTAATTTCATTTCTTCATTAAGAGTTTCTTGATATTCTAAGCTATAAATTGAATGGTTTGTATTATGCGACATTTCATTTTTTTGTTTTAAAGGTGATATGTTAGATGAGTGCATCTTTAATTTATTCTGATATACTGAACCTATTTGACTCATGGTTAAATAACGTTCTACAGACAAGACTAGAGTAAACCATACACTTGCTGTTTCCGATATATTTCCAATCGGAAAGAGAATGTATGCATTATAATATAGTAGATAAATTCGAAATCTTCTGAATGCTGGATGCTGACAATAAACAAAATATCTTCCACATCTACAAGCAAACAAAGAAAAAAAAATACAATAACAAGATTTGTTTTTCATGTTATTGAAGTTAATTAATTTTATTACAATTATCTGCAGAAATGTGTTTGTTAGTTAATAAATTATAACGAAAGTTATGTCATTTCTATAACACTTTTGTGGTTGTTGTACGTGTTTGAGGCAGTGCTTCGAGAAAGTCACTAGTCAATATTGATTTGTGAAGATTTTTGAATTTTGTTGAAATCATGAAGTGACCTGTGAACCATTAGAAACATGGTTTCAAGACCACTATTCAGGATATCAAAAAACATACTAGCCGAATGCTTCTTAAATCTCCCATTTTCTAGGCTTAGAAATTTACGCAATTTAAATATAAAATCTAGGAATACAAGCCAACGTGTATATATTAAATCTTTATTAGTATCTAGCGAAAACACTTATGTTATGAAGGTAAGTAATCGGATTACAGTTGATTAATTGTAATTCCTGCTCAACAAAAAATGTGATAACAAATAATGAGTACAGTATAAACTTAGAATTAGAATTATGCAAAAGTCCCATGAACCGATCTCTTCCTAATATCTTAACTGATTCCTAGGAAAAAAATTTCTCGATTTTCATTATTTCATTCCCAAGCTACGTTCCAATAAAAACTTTTTATGAAAAAAGAAGTTATTCATTTGAAACTAATGAAACAAATCATGCAAATGATATCGTTGTTGTGATATGTTTCAGTAAACGGCAAATAAATGAATATCAAGTTTTGTTCTGTAAATATATAATGTTTCGCTAATTCCCATCGTGAACTGAGATCACACTTAAGCTTATTATTAAGTACTGACTATTTCAGTCTAATTTTTCCAAATGAATAAATAGGATTGTGTTTGACGAAATCACTTCAGTTCTCCTGAAATTATGTTCAATCATCTGAAGTCTATTGACTTAAAAATTCATGAATGGTTTTTAGATTAGTAACTTACTATTTCGATGTTTGTCTAGACACAGTCAAAATTATTTCAGCAGAAAATATAAGGTCGAAGCAGTTGTCCACTGTTTCCTAGTTTCCAGTAGTTATCTAACTGAGGTCATTCCATGATCTAAATTATAAGAATTCTACCAGCTCCTTAATTTTAATGATCATGTCTTCACTAGTGACAAATTTTGAGGAGTGATTACCTTAATCCTAGTTATAAACCTCGAGAATTAGAGTCCAGTCATATTGTATGTGGGTCATTTATCCACCGTAACCCACTGACATTTGAAGGAGACCGGACTGAATCGCTAATTGAGTGAGATTAAGAATTTGAAGCATTTAGTATTGAATCAAAGGTTTAGTGATTAAGCACGTATCTGAAAGTCGTTAGTAGTGACAGAAAGTTTCAGGTAAGACGTTCAGTGCTCCCTAGTTTTTGATAGCTCCATATCTGAGTTAATTGCACTTTGTATGCTATACAGAATACTAATTCATGGAATTAAGCAACAGTCCCTCATTAAGAAAAAATTGTTAGTATCATCAGCGTGCACTCAACTTGAAGCTTTCAAGGGTTACGACTGGTCCTAAGCTGGGATAAAGGGAAACGGTTGAATTTCGAGTTAGTAACCCCATCTTGGAGAAAAGATCCTTACCAAAGAACGCTAACCAGAAAAATAAACGGTGATAATTATGAATTAAAAGTGAGATAGTGTTAGGATATTAAAATGGAAATAAATTACTTATTGTTTGTGAATGTTTTCGTGTCTAAGATTTCAACATTTTTATTGCGAAAATCAAATTTTAAAATCTTATTTACCTTACCTGAATTCACATTCGAAACCATCGAAAAACTGATTTAGAAAAGTATCTATGACTGATTAGTAATAAATAGTTTGCCTTGAGATTGATTTTGATAATTGAACGTAAGAGAGATAATTTACATCTTCCTAGTCAATAGTGCAACTAAATTATAATCTCATATTGTTGCAAATTAGGCGAAATAAAGCAATTAGACACCGTAAGTTTTGGTAGATTAACGTTTTATTTCACATGAATTTCCCGATAAATTTATTAGTAAGGATGAAATGACTTACAGATTATAATTTATTGTCAGCGTTTTGTCAGTTTGTGATGATGACACAATTTTGTGTAGTATATTCACTCAATTCGAATCAATCTGATTAATTACTTTTATTGCTTGCATATATAAATTCTTGTGACAATCACAGGGGAATAAGTCTAACTAATATAGTTTCTAAATTGTTAGACTCGATTATACTTAGACGCCGAACTAGAGCTCGTGAAGAGCAGATTGGAGAAAACCAGGCTGGTTTTCGACCTGGACGTGGCTGTATAGACCACATTATCATACTATGACAGGCCCTGGAACACAGGCACACTTTTAGGCGTCCGACAATAGTCGTCTTCCTGGACCTTAAGGCGGCATTTGACTAGGTGGATCGTGAAGTTTGTGGCAGTATCTGTCATTAAAAGGTGTACCAAAGTACATTAACCATATACAAGCTCTCTACTCGAACACCATTGGTTGGGTGACAGCCTATGGCGAACTGTCATCGGAATTATCTACTTCAAGTGGTGTCCGTCAGGGCTATCCACTCTCCCCATTCTTGTTTAACTTTGTCGTAGATTTACTATCATCCTCGTCAGATTTTTTATGGGTATACCGTCTACCAGGAGGAACGCTTACTGAACTAGAATATGCCGATGACATAGTTCTATTCAGTGAGGACGCTGACAAAATGTAGAGTCTTATGACTTCCCTAAGCAACAATGGAAGCATGTTCGGGATGCGGTTCTCACCCTCGAAATGCAAAATGTTGATTCAGAATTGGGTTGCATCGGCACCTGAACTAGTGGTAGGGAGTGATGTAGTCGAACGTTTTGACCGCTTCACTTATCTCGGGAGTCTCATCAGTGCCGATGGCCTGGTGACTGAAAAAATTTCAGCATGAATACAGAAGGTTCGATTGGTTTTTGCCAACCTTAATCATTTTTGGCGTAGGCGAGATATCCGTTTGCTGACTTAAGGACGAGTGTACTGCGCGATAGTTTGCTCCGTTCTCCCATATGGTTGTGAACCATGGCCAGTGAGCGACTTTCATTCCGTTAATGAACGTTTTAGAATAGGTTTTTATGTTTTAAGGTCGAAAATGTTTGTTGGAGGAACTCATCCATGTGATTAAAAATAAATTTCCCTCCGGAACCTTTTTAACGACGCGTATAGTTTCTCAACCGTCCTGACGTCCCACGTTATACTAACACTAGTATGAACTCCACTAAAGGGATCTTTGAAATGTTATCGGTGAATAATGATTCCATACTGGTATCCGGATACCACAAGACACTTGGGGTTTCCAGTTACCAGTATAGAATGTAATGTTTAGTTGAACGTATTTTTCGTTTGTAGGAATAAGGGTAAACGGCTTCACTTCTGAAAGTGCATCTTTTAGAGATTCATATTTAAAATCGTGAAAACCAACTGTTGTTTAATAAAAGCTGCTCACTCAATTAAATTTCAACTTTCTAACTGTTACATTTTCTTTCTAGTGATATTCGCTTTTATCACATTTGTCGAAATTAGTCATCGGTCTAGATATATATGACCTTTAAATATAAGCTTTTATTCTTATCAGTCTGACATTATAGTTCAACTGAAACTTTAAATACGTTCTGAAAATTTAATCATTTAAAGTATTATATTATGACTATCATCATTATTGATTCATTTGTATTAGTACTTTGGATCTCTTCATTGATAGTTAGGATCGCAATTGATCAGCCTCATTTTGCATATGTGCACCTTATATGGATTGTCTTGATATAGCCATTAAATCACAAACGTTATAATCACAGATGCGTAGGGGCTAGCAGTGATATCCAAGAGGTGCGTTTCATCCAATGAACGTCAAGTTAGACATCTAACTGCAATCTAAAATCAGCGTGTTTTGTTCAGAGGAAATTGATTTGTGATCTTTAATGTAATACGTTTGATTACAAAACTTTTATTTCACTGAAAATGACATTCAGAACAATAGGCAAAACTTGGAAGTCAAGAAATCCCATTCAGATAATTCTTTATTGTTCAAAACATACAACTAAGCTACATGCTGTCCTCATCATTTTACTAGTCGGGGAAACAAGTTACGTAATCTGCAAACAATACATACATTACGTTAAGCTAACAGATAATTCACACCTTATACGCATAGAAGAAATCAAAATATTCGTGTTATGGAAACGCAAAGATTTCGAAATCATAAGAATTTTCAAAAATAATATATACATTTAACTGTAGAATGACAAAATAATATTTCGAAATACATAATCCTAGAATACAGGGAACCCTAGTATGTTACACAACTAAAGCAGTCACTGTCAAACATAAATATAAGGTTAGAGGATATTTTGATAGTACATATAAATAACCTTTGTATATTTCATTCGATTGAAGAAATACCTTTGTATCAAATATTATAAGTCAGTTAACTATGACTCTATGATCTGATGTTTTTTTGACTATCACTTAATATTCATCAACTAGATGAATTTTCAGGCTCAGTTTAGTATTGCACAGCTCGATGATTAAGACTTACCAAAAGCATGGTCGGCACTTCACTTATTTTTTCATAAAATTATATTATTCTTCTGATGTAAGACTAATTCCTGTTTGGCTGTTTTTTGGCTATTATCTAGGAATAAACCATTTATATGTTTTATACACTTATAAATTCATATATGATCACTTCATTGGCGAAAGTAAATCAAAGTGTGATTAATTCATAATGCCTGGAGTTTCATCAAAACTTAAAACTAATCAAAACAACAAATTCTAGTTCATGGTGATATTAAATTTTGTTTTCATATCTATCTATCCATTTTATTATTCCGAACAAAAAATTAGACGAAATTATTCATACTGATATTGTAGAGAATATAATTAACTTCAAAATCGAAAACAACATTCAAATGTTGTTACGTGACATAAATTTTTACAAAATCCTAATATAAAATCTATAATC